AGCAATAACAACGTGATATAGGAAATAAGCAAGCGCAATTACACAGCCCTTAATGCCCAATGATAGATCCTGCAAATACTGCTGGCAAGTTGCATTAGCATTTAGGAATAAAAAAGAAATTGTGGAACGTTCTCATAGTGAAGTAACAACACGAGTCAGAGTGCTACAAGTTTTTTCAATATGCTTCATTGAAGCGCTGAAAATTCCTAACGCTTTCTCTAAAATCGAGGAGAACATTCCGATCATCGACTTTGATAGGAAATTACTCAAAAATGGTCAAAAATTAAGCATCAGTAGAGTTCCCGGAACTTTGAATACAACATATGAGAAAAGTGGAATGATTATAAAGAAGGATTGCGTGGTGAAGCGAACGAAATAATAGAGGAAAAAAGTAGTCGAATTCTAAAAATGAGATGAGGAAACCGCAACTAAAAGCCCAAAAGCTGAAATGAGCTTAAGAGAAATAATCATGTTTGCCGAATTTTTTGATGCGCTGTTCGCTAGCAAATAACAATCTCATCATATTCGCTTGTAAATAATCTCATCGATAGGTCTAATTGATGCTTTATCAAAGCAGTTCTGTACACATACGAGATCAATTGAACCGTTAGTGAGTATCTCAGTGCAAATGCACATTTGAAGTGCCGACCAATAAAGAGAGAAGACTTCAAATAAGTTCAACGATAAAACTTGAAGATAGTAGACAAATTAAACCGAAACAGGTAAACAAGTGATATTTGAAAGAAGAGTTTATTTACCTTGAGAAGTGCCACAACAATAGTTGCTCGTTTTCCAGCACGTATCGCAATAGTGCTAATAGTCGTGGTCGTTGGTTTTTCCATTATTTGGAATCAAAATTGAAATCAACGGTCGATCAAACTGATTTCGTATTGTTTAGAGAATGGATGATCCAATATGATATGTTCCTGGTGGATACAAACAGGATTCGATAGTAATGATAATACTGACGTTCTTCTCGTTGTTGTTGTTATTGCTGGTGGTGCTGTTACTTAAAATAGGGCTGGTCCAGTGCAGACCAAGCTGGATGCAGCACCTGCCTATATGCTTAACTTCATGCACCTATGGTGGAGCTTCAACTTTAGCTTCAGCTTTCGACTTCAAGCTCCTAATCTCTCGCTATATTACTGGCTGGCTCTGACTCTGCACGAAATGATCATCTATCTATCTGTACATCTAAATATCTGTATCGTAGTCTAACTAGATTTCACAGATCCTCAACAGTGACAGAGAGGGAGAGGCGGCACTGCACAATAACACTGCAATCAGCAAATCAGATCTTTGCTTGCCTCGACTTCTTCAGTCAAACCTATTAAATACTTGAAAAGCTTGAATGCCACGAGTCCA